TACATACATACATACATACATACATACATACATACATGTTTCAGACTTGATCTGGCATTTTGGTCTACCTATTAAATCCTTGCCAAGAACCTGGGGTAGCCAAATGTTACGTTTTGATAGTATTAAAGGAATCGTGGCAGGATGTGAGCTGTTCTGAATAAAGCTGCCTTTTGCAATTGACTGATGGTGATTTTGTCAATGCTGACGGTGTTCAAGTGGTAATTCCAGATGTTTTGGGATTGCATCTTATTACCACCAGTACTATCTTTGCTTTCTTTTGCCTCAATATTTTAGTTCTGTGCTCCACCCAGAGTCCTCTGGAGTTGGCAACCAATAAGTTTAAATAAATAAAATATTTGGATGAATTTATCCCTTTTTGCACAACTTCTATAAACTCCTGGAGAACAGCTTTCGTGCGTTCTCTGAAAGGCAGGGAGAGAGACTGAAAAAATATAAGGAAATAATCTTTACTGATGAATGTACAGCACCAAAGAAAATGCTAGACGCTATTCACCAGCAGTATTAACAGTTGATAAATAACCAATAGGGAACTGAATGCAGATTTTTTATCATGCTTGGAACGTGCCTGTTGAATTAAATGGGACTTAATTTTCTCCTGTTCCTTTTTAGGTAGATTTTCAAGATGTCCATGCCAGGACATTAGCAGAACGAAAGAGAGATGAAGAAAGGCAGAAACGATTGGATAATATTTACAAGGATAAAGCCCAAAAAGCGGAAAAGGAAATGAAAGGTGAGAGAGATGGGTGGTTTATTTCTCCCTGTTTTATTTCTGGGGGTCACTGCCACATTCTTCCGGGTGTTTGGGGGGTTTCATCCAAAGGAGGGCTTCCACAGGACCGTTGCTGTAAATGATGATCTGTTCGTAGATCGGGAGTCGGTAAGGATCTGCGTTGGGGAAAAATAAAATGATCACAGTGAAAGGTAAGAAAACTGAACTGAAGAAGGTCTGAAAACTTTCTAAGCTTGTGCCAATCTTGTCTCTCTATCCCATCCACCAAACCTCTTGGTCAGAAGTTACGTACGTTTTAAAATTCCCACCACACTGTCAAACTGTCTATAAAGGCAGAATTAGCATTATTCTCATCTTCCCTATTGCCTCCTTACCTTCTTATGACTATAACTTTGTTCCTTATATCTTGCACTTTATATTGTTTATTTGGTATCCTAGCATGTATGATGCATGTGGATTACTTAATTAGCATCCTATGACTGTCACTAAGCGTTGTATATGAAGTTTTATGATGAATGTAACTTTGCAGTGACTCTGATAATCTATCGCTATATTGTTGTATGTACACTGAGAGTTTATGCTCTCAAATTCCTTGTGTGTCTAATCACACTTGGCCAATCGAGAAGGCTAATTCTAAAATAGTGGAGCAATCGTTTTATTTTGTGCATGCTGATTAGTAAGCATTGGATCAACTGATGATTAGTAAGCATTGGATCAACTGATAGATGGTTGATAGATAGTTTTTCACACGTCTGTTGCAGCTTCCCCAGAGTCACGTGATCAGAGTTCAGCTGTTTGGCTACTGATTCATGTTTATGACGGTTGCAGTGTCCTGGGGGGGTCACGTAATCCAGTGGTCTCCAACCTTGGCAACTTTAAGACCTGTGGACTTCAACTCCCAGAGTTCCTCAGCCAGCAAAGCTGGCTGAGGAACTCTGGGAGT